CATGGGCTAAAGAAAGAAAGAAAGAAAACAGGGAATAAATGCTATGAAATTTCTCATGCTACAGCTAGTGATTATTGCAAAAAAGCCATCAAATTGACTTTACACTATGCTAAATACACTATGCTAAACACCTATGGTTAACCTATGGCTAAATACACTATGGTATTAATACACTATGCTAAAAACCTAGCAAGTGTGAACAACAAGAAACAACAGATTTTATGATTAATCGGAAAGAAAACAAAACCTGGAAAAGTAAATAACAGATGATATCGAAACCAAGTTTTAAGACGTTTGCAGCGTTACGCGTTCACAAAAAACTGAAGACGAGTACGAATTAATGACAAAAAAAGGAGGAAATTCGTTTGTTTTTGTTGTAAAATATATGTTTTTCAAGATCCACAAACACAATTAACAAACTGAATTACATTGCCACATCAAACAAAGCAATATCTATAACACAGATTCTCACCACTTGCAATACAAAATTCAAAAAAAAAAACAGTCAAAAAAAGAAAACTGAAAAAAAAACCTAGTTGAACCGAAACTCGATACAAGATTACAAAAAACCCTATTAAATCTAAGGTGTTTGTGTCAAATTTTGTGTATTTCTTCTTACTCATGCGGGATGAAATGCTATACTTTCAAAAACTGGACTTCGTCTAAAATTATAGTTTTGCTCAGAAGTGAGAAGAGTTTAAGTTTTTGAGATATTGGAACATTCCTACAGAGAAAACAGTTTTCATCGACGAAACTTTTTTTCTTAGAGATAGCTAAGATTTTACCGCTACTGTATGGAACATTTTCGCAACCGGTTCTTTCGGATGAACCCTTCATCTCAGGTTTGCTAGGGTAAAGAAAAATCAAGTTTCTAGACAACTGTCAAAAGTTCAAAAACTTGACGTTCCGAAATCCAAAACATTTTTTCTGCAAACACTAGAACGTTGGCGATTAAGCAGAGAAGATTCAGAAAAAAAACCAAGTTTCTTGATTGAACACTTAACCTGCGAATTGGCAACGCAGGTTTCGAGAAAAGTGGAAAAGTTCAAAAACTCTGACTTTTCCGAGGGCCATAAAATTGGTTTACATTTTTTACAGCGTATTAAAAATAGCATCCCGCAAATCGTTCTTTGGATTGAACGACAAAGGTAGGGCAGTTATTGTTAAAAATCAAATATTTTCAAAATAGATAAAAAAACAAAAATTTACTTTTCGGAGGGCCATTATTTTTTGCGTAATAAAAAAATAGTCGTATTCAGTTATGCAGGAGAGCTTTACACAACCAGTTACTCCGATTGAAGTTAAGTTTCAGATTTAGGAAAACTGTTCTCGAGAAAAGTTTTAAAAAAATTTTTAAAATGAGCATAGCATCTTTGTTTTGAAACCTAAGTCTTTTAGTTGTCAAGAAAATTCGAAATTTCAAATAAACGTCAAAAAATCAAAAACTTGACTTTTCCCAGGTTAATACCTTTCTGGGTAACAAAATTTGTGTGTTTCTGCTATCACAGGGTAGCTTCACAACAAACGGTATCTCCATTGAACTTACAATCTCCAATTTGAGAGCGTGGTTTTCGAGAAAAATCAACACGAGGCGAAGCTGCCCTTCGCAAATACTAACGAGAACAGGACAAAAAGCAGCTTTATAAAGTGAAATAAGGAAAAGAAAAATAAGTCTCGAGTTAGCACAACTTTGCTACCTATCGGATTCGAAGCTGCGAGCTCGGGATTTGAAATCTCACGCCTTGCCTGCGCGGGCACGAATTTTCAACAACCGACAAACACTAGTGACAAAAAAAGCAGCTACATATACTAATAAGTTGCCAATCCAATGCAGCACAAGGGGCACCAAATAAAAATATACATAATTTGGGATGTAGTAACTTGGGGAATACGACAAATTGAAGGCATTTACGCTAAATTTGCATGTAATAATTTCGAAAGCATTAGGCTAATTGTGTATAATTTAAGAATTTCAAAATTACTGCGAGATATATTGACTTGGAAACTTTCTGAAAATTTTATTATTGTTCTGATATTTGAAGCAAATAGCTTTTCTCGGTTCACTTGATGCACTTAAATTCTATAACTGTGTTAAATTATTACTAATTGGATATAAAAACGCATGTTATCAAAAAGCATGCGACTTAGATTATTCGACATTTGCGACTCAGATTTTAAAAAAATCAAACAATTATAAGACGCTCACTTAAGTTTATTAGTGTACAAAAACTGAAAAATGGTCAAAAATAAAGAGTTTGACTTTTTTTAGGGCCATACTTTTTGTTTACAAAAATTTGAGCGTAGCAGCTCGTGCAGCGGAGCTTTCCAAATCCCTTTCTAACCATTGAAAGCAAAATCTCAGATTTGGGAGGGTAGTTTTTGAGACAACACAAAATCTAAAAATTTGGGTCAAATATCCCCCACAGATGTTTTCGAAGGCTACAGACTGTAGGGTGAAATAAAAAACAATTAGGCATTGAACGGTCTTTAGACCCTTGGCGAGTGGGCGGTATTACCAATGATACTCCTTTTTTGAAATCAGGAGAGTAATTTGAGAAAAACTGAAATTTTTCCCAAGAGTCAAAAAATAAACAACGAAATAAAAAACCCAATCCCATTCATTTTCATGATACCCGTTTTTCTCAAACAGAAGTTCAGGACAAACATGTTAAGCAAAACATTTGAATTAGCAATAGAACAAGACTTAAGAAGCGGATACAAAGTCGACAATTTTCGAGCAGACACCAATTAAACAAGTTTTAAGCATACAAGTTTCAAGTCCCCATAAAATTCCAAACAAAAACACTCTCAACTTACAAGATGTTTGCTTACAAAATAAGAAAAATCCGTGATGTTGCATCCAAGCCCACAAAACGTGAGCTGACAAATGAAAGTCCGACAACTCAACTTTTACCTACTGAAGAAAAACAAGCACCTGCCGTGACTTGTACCCCAGACCTTAGTGTCCAAAAGCAAACACGTTGCCTCCAGGCCAAATAAGAATGGAACTGGAAGTTGACAAGGGACCTGGAAGCTCAATTTCTTGTAAAAGAAGTTGTTTACGGGAAAAAAATTATAGTTCCCGATTACAAGACACTTGCTATCGCAAGTAAAATTAAACTTTGAAAATTGACAACAAAAAATTGCATTCACTCACAAAAACAATTTCACGGTAAAAATTTTGAACATTAGACAAAATATTTCGGATGTGTGCAATAAACGCAGTCAATTTACAAAGAAAGCCTTGTCACATCGGTAAATAACATTGCGTAAATCATTCAAAACAGTAATATAATTAGGCCACTAACTTAAAATAAAAATGGAACAAATTAATGAACAACGAATGGACAACTCGATCAATTTTAGTGAACCGAATCAACACCCTGATGTTAAATGACTCTGAATTCAAAAATAGTGTTAGCGTATATTCCTCTTTAAACAGCATTCCAATAATGGATTTTGGAAAAAAAAACGTAACTGAGCCTAACAAAACAAAGTAGAAAATCAAAAAATATAACCAGAATACAGTTGGAAAAGAGTCAATGGACTTAAGAAAACAGCAAAAAATTCCTTTTTCTTTCAAAAAAAATTTCACGATTCGAATTTCGAAGTAAAAAAAATTCTGGTCTTACAGCTCTTTCACTTTCAAGAATTTATAAATGACACTTCGATAAAACTAACTCAATTTAAAAGAAAAGCGGATCAATAGGTAAGGTTTATATTCCAATGAGAAAACTGAAAAAAAAATCTCGAAATTAGAAGTCAATCACGTTTTTCGTGACATTTACACTTTTGCTGTTCGTCAATCGAGTTTGTCTTCTTTTTACACAGAGTCGAAGCTGCAGCTTCCCAAACACGAACTAGAAAGCGGATATGATTAAGGAGCTTTCAAATGCCCAATCACTCAAACTTTGCAGGTAATAATTTGAATGGTAATGAACTAAAGTCAGTCACACTAACTTCGTATGTGATAAACTGGAATGCAAATTACGTATAATTAATGCATTTCGACAATCTCGCAAAGTTGTTTGAGCTGGAAAACTTCTGAAATAGAATGTTAATTTCTTACTCTTTTACAAAACAAATAGCTTCAACTGTAGCTTCAAATTAAAATAGTGTAACTTCAAATTAAAAAAGCATCGACTGTGTTACCTTAATTCTAATGAAATGTCAACGCAATTGGGATTATACTGCTTATGTAGCCTAGCGATTGAAAGTGCCATCAAAATTGCATATTTATTTGCAACTTAGACAACCCAAGAAAATTAAACTTGAGTTTTTACATCGTCTAAAAAGGGACCTTTAGCTCTATAAAAAAAACCATAGAAAAAACTCTTAGGCCGCCCATTTAAAGTACTAAAACACAGATTTGAGTGAAACCTGTGAAAAATTGTTTACGGCAAAAGGCAATCCGCATGCAAAACATTTGCTATCGCAAAATTGAAGAGTTCTAAGTTTTTCTGTTGACATGACTACCTAATTTAACACACAAATTGATCTATACCACACTAGTAGTGGCAGTTGCATCTAAATTTCAAAGTAAAAGCAGAGCACTTTTGGAACTTAATTCTTCTAGTCATTTTATGTTATTGAAAAATAACCCGCGAGAACAAAATTGAGCGGACTCGTCTAACTTTCGAGAAAATTTTTGATTCTCGTTCCCACTCGCGACTCATCTGGCTTTTTCTCGGACTATCGCAACGAAGCGAAAAATGCACATACTGTAGTACGAGCTTCACAAACACCTAATCGAGTTTAGTTGAAAAAAACTACTCGTAGAAACCCGCGTTTGTGTGTATTATCACTTTATTTGTCAGAATTTTGACATTAAGCAGTTGTTTACTGGGAAGAAACAGTTCCCGATGACAAAACATTTCCTTTCGCAAAACAAACAAATTAAAATACTATTAATAAAAAACTATGATGAAGATACTTAAGTTTGCTAAAAAGTTCATGCTCTGCTCAGAAAAAAAAATGTATATAAGACTTCAACTCATTGATGAGGTTTGAAATAGAAAATCTAATTTTCAACAATCGATTCATTGTCATTATCATCACTTTACAATTATGTATTACGTTTTAATTTTGCTTCTGAAGTTCGAATACCATTTTGAAATTTCATGGTTAAACGAATAAGATGACAGAACAATAAAAATACTTTAGAATATTTCCGTTATTTGCAATATTTCCAACTTGAGGTCGGTTTGAGTGAGAACTATGTTTAGGTAACCACTACACAAAAACCATGAAAAAATTACAAATTTTTCATAAACTAGATGATCCATTAATGCCTTGTTTCTTCGCAAGACAAAACAGTATGCTATGCCATCATTATAGAGAAATTTTAAACACTCATTCTGACAATAGTATTCTGAGCTATTTAGTTTGTTTTTCTTTCACATTTAATGTCACAATTGAATCAAAGTTTCTAGTTTAGTTCTTTTTTTCATTTGAAGTCGTCGGAGTTCTTCTCAACAGTCATAACGTGATTCACACTGATTTTTTATTAAATGTACAAACTTGATACTTTTCTTTGATTCGCTGGATTGGGTTGACGTGGTTGAAGTTACTGTTCAGTGACTAGTACGAGGAAGTTCATTTGGACACAGTTAACATATAGATTGAGATAGAAGTTACACAGAGGATAGATTGAACTCACTTCGTTCACTTTATACGATTAACATACCTGGATTATAGTTCATTTAAGGTTCGTAATGGCTTCTTCGACGAATTTTGCACAGCATTTTAGTTTACAATTTGCTCGGAAATGCTGTTATTGTTCTTGTTTTTACGAAGTACAGACTATCATACAGTTGTTTTCAAAGGGTGTACAGGCGGCTATCAAGAAGCGTACTCAAAGGCCCTCATAATATCTGCAATTGAGAACTGGTTACCGTGCGAGTAATAGAGATCGAAGTTATAATAAGGCACTGACATCTGAGGCGACAATGTCACTCTAGCTACTGTCGCATCCATTATGTTACTTTCTGTTAGTTGCCGAAATGACTGGCACTGTTCTGGACTCCACCGACGTGTTGTCGAGTTCGGATGGAGCCCATTCATGGATCCGTTACATCTCAAAACTGGAATATTTTTTATGGCTTCCGCACTCTGCTCTGGTATTTTAAATACCTCGTTACACCTCGCGATTATTTCTCCGCCGTAATCAACGTCTTGTATCTTTACAAACTTATTTTTCTCCAAAAGTTGATGCCCTGGTTTAACTGTGACACGCCTTACTTCGCCTCTGATTTTTGACACAAAATATTGACCCGGGAACACCACAGGCTGACCTGTGTTTGGGTCGCTATCGATGCCCTTTTTACCGGCACTTGTTATAAACGAGTTCAATAAAGTTTTCAGCTGTTCTCTGAACTTGTTCGTAGTCTGATTGATCGGAATGAAATTGAAGAAGGTCGGCAGCACTACGTATGAAATTAGAATCTTGACGTTGGAGCCTGTTTTGATGTCGAGCTTTGATGATATTGAGGTCATGTTTCTGGGGGATCCTCCGTCCAACTGATCTGGAGTCCGGTTGGCAGAATTATTTCTACCTATTCAACAAAAACATTTTGAAAGCAAAAAAAGACCAAAGTTTTCACAACTAATCGCAGACAAACAAAAAAAATCCCTTTAAACGACGTGCCTAACTCAAATAAGCGCCCAATGAAGTGCCACATTTTAGTCAGTAGTTCCAAAATTACAGACTGAGAGCGAAACCTGTGTATCACGTGTTCTCAATTTCCAAAAACAATTAATTTATGCGCACCTGCGGCTTGATTCTGATGATGGCTATAGTTAGTGTTGAAACTGTAATTGGAGTTGATATTCTGACTGTAACTGTTGTTCGGGTGGTTCCCGTGCGTAGCGAAATTTGCCTGAGGATTGTTGCGATGACCAGCCGGGTGGTGGTTATTTTGGACAACAGTTAGCTGCTGGTTGAAGGACTTTATTTGGTGGGGTTGTTGGGAGTAAACGGGGGGAGGGTGGTGCACAACTGCAGATACACTGTCCCCAAGTTCAAAGGCCTCCATTAGGTTGGCAAGTGCTTCGTCGTCAGTCGGGCTGGGAGGACCTAAAACAGCCAAAACGATGAATCGTCGATACTCAAAAAAGCAAAAGTCCAAAAGATCATAGAAACTTAGTCGGACACTTTAAACTCAAAATTATGTAGGACTAATTAGAAAGTTTGTGAAGCAAATTGTAGATCTCGCTTTAGTTTGAAACGAAGACAATTATGCCAGAGACCAAATATTTTTTTTTTCAGTTTTACATTTCCTGTAAAAACATTCGAAACAAAAAAATTTAGTTCTTCATCCTTACAAAGTTTCAGTTGTAAGTAAAGATCGTTTTAAACACGATCAAGTATAGTATCACATTAGCAATAAAGACTTAAGCAATGGATAGCAAAAGCGAACCTTCATCGAAATGTGAGAACTGTTCGTCGGCTGTGTTCATAAGCCACTCCTCAACCACACTGTTAGTCCCACTATTGGACTCATCCCCCACAGCCACAGTCACATTAGGCACTGGAGGAACAGCTCCTGCTGCTCCTACAACATAAGTGGCCGCATCCGCTGCTCCCCCCTGAGAAGGGTTTGTGTTGATGGTATTTTTGGGACCCCAAGCGGGTGGTGCTTTGACAGTGCCTCCGGGGGGACTCTTGGGGTTGATGGGTCCTGAGCCTGCTTCTTCTGCCTGCAAAACACTACTTTTCAAAAAATGAATATGAAATTAAATTCGGAAATAAGGCTGAGCCGATAGACACAGAGATTCAGGGGAAAAAAAGGTTTGTAGTTCATACATAGAGTTCAAACGAGACTCAAACTTTTTTCTTTGAGACAAAATATTCTATGCTGACTATAAACTATGACCTTTTATGGCCTAGTTAAAAACTTCGAAAAATGCAAAAAAAACGGTGCCACAATGAGTAGTCCGCTCAGGAACAATTTCTCAAATTCACAGTTCCCTTGCAATCCATTAGAACATCAGTTACTTTTTAGTTAGTTAATTGAGAACTGTGATTGCGCTACTAGCCTGTTTGAGTAACCCCGGTTCGTAGTAGTAGTCGATCAGATCTCTGCCCTTGTACTTGACCTTGACCACAGTGGACACACACTTGGAGTTGTGGGCCATGACCTTCACGTGGAACAGGGCAGGCAAGTTCAGTCCATCCGGAAACGGCAGATCCGTCGGGGCTCCTGTACATTAAGAGTCACAGTGCATTAAGAAAAGAGACCTTTTTGCACAAATAAGGATTATTTTGTTCTTTTAACTTTTCCAAAATATTTAACCTTGTAAAAATTACTTCCAAACAATAAAATATTTTTTTTTTACAGAGGCAAGGCTTCGCTCCGCAAACACTACCGAGAACACGACAAAAAGCAGCTCTTAAAGTTCAATAAGAAAAACCTCGAATTAGTCTTAAAAAATCGGCGAGCTCTGAGATTCGAACCTGCAAGATAGAGATTAGGAGTCTCGCACACTAACCACAGACACTTAAACGTCTGCGAACATAAGCCACAAGTAAAGCATAGAACAGTTGCTATACAATTTACAATGCTGCAGTGAAATTTCCAAATAAGTGAACACTTTAAATGAACAATTTGAGTCAAGTTGGAAAAAAAGGAATGTTCGTGAAAATACATACAATACGCTGATCGCTAGTGTCAAAAGGTTGAAATATCTCTGTAATATCAAATTTTTTCCGAGGAAAAAAATAATTTCTTAGAATTACTTTATCTTATCGTCTGCAATTCGGCAGAAGCGAAGCTGAAATGCGCGCAAACACAAGCGAGAAAACAGCACAAGGTAGCTCTAAAATACGATGAAAGGAAAAAAGTAAAACGAATGAAATTTTTCTACTTGCCGCAATCAAAATATTAGAATACATACGCATTAACCAGCAAAAAAAAACGCCAAAAAAATAGAAAAGAAGAAAGAAAAGGCGAAAACGAGTCTTGAAACAAAAATTTTCTGAGCCGGGACCAAACTAACGGCCTAAAGATAAAATTCCCTTACGTCCTCCCACCTTCTCGTGTACATATTTAAACCCTAGTCAGCCACTAACAAAGCGGGTATCGGACATGCTATTATATATCAAACATGTATTATACAGCAAAATTGAACTATTTAAATCAACACTTTTATTTTCGATTTGGGAAAGGAAAAAGTAGACTCGTAGTATAACACTGAGCTAAACAGCTCGCTTGATCAATACCAACAAATGATCAGTTATACTAGCGTGTAACGCGCCTCCGGTGCTACGCATTTTCAACAACTCATAAAAACCGCATATATTGAAAATAAGATCTGCGACCTTTTAGTGTACCCTGACAGCACAATTACAGGTTTCGTTGTTTCAAATTTTGCACAGTTTTTTATTCAAGTTTTTTTAATTCCAATTTTGAAAAACCATGAAAATTCTTTGTGCAGTTCTTTGAAAAAATTTAAAATGAGCTAAGAAACGTAACATTTCGGAAGCATAAAACAAAGAGCAGTCGCATTTGAACACAAGATTTGCAACTCCTGAGAATACTGTCACAAAACCCAACTACAGGGTAAGGAATTTCACATTGAGAAACTTTTCAAACTTAAGTTTTCTCCAAATATAACTTCAAAATCCAAAAAAAATTAATATCTCGGAAACTTTACAAAATTGAGCAGTCATATTTGGAGCGAGATTCGCAACCCCTGATTGTACTTTGAAAGCCTCCAACTAAAGGGTTAAAAAATTTGAAAAAAAAATTAAATTTAAGCTTTCTGAAACTTTTTTTTGGAATAATAAAAAAACGTCCTATCTCAAATCAAAACTACAAAGATTTGAGCAAACTTATTTAGAGGCAAGACTCGCAACCCCCGAGGGAACTCTGAAAACCCCCAACTACAGGTTAGGAATTTCAAATTAAAAAAGAAAAAGAGTTTTAATTTAAGTTTTTTTGAAAAAAATACAAAATACGTCATATCTCAAAAACTTCAACAATTTGAGCAGTCTTAATTTGAGGCAAAATCCGCAACTCCTGGGAGTAACTTGAACATTTTGTGGCAATGTAAGTTTCAACCGCACAGGCAGGATAACTTTCAGACATTCAATTGTTTACCTGCGATCTCGAACAGCCTGGCAAGAGGTCGGCAGAATCCAATTGCATAAGAGGGCAGTCCCCACACCTCTTGGATAGGGTAGGCATTTATGTATCCCCAGTCAATCAGATACACATCACAAATCTGGTTGGTTATCGACACCACAAATCCTCGCGAAACCCCTTCAGAACGATCGTTCACACATACAAATGTATTTTGTGTAATTCTCGCTTGTCTGATTGATTTGTTCGAGTTCTGCTGTTGTATCTGACTATCAAAGTTGAGTTGTAGTTGTTTCTTTAGCTTTTGAAAAGACTGTTTTAATTCCTGGTTGTTCTCGATTCCAAGAAAGAGGTTGGGCGAGGATATTTCTGTTACGTATATGCTACAACTGGAACCGATTTTATCCAGGGAAGAAACAAGAGCGTCCTGTCGACAGGACTCTGGGAACAGGTTGCTGTACTTGTTCAAGCATCCCTGATATGCCTGAAAAAAAAAACTATAGTACATCAAAAATTCAGTGCTAATAGCTGAAAGCAAAAAATTGCATTTGACACTTCGCAATTTGGCTTAGAATGATAGGCGAAGGACGCCTGATAGGGCTTTGATCTTATGGGTCATTCAAATTTTGCCGTCGTACGGATATTTGATACTTTCGTTGATACTATGATTACCAGCAAACGAAAGGCAAATCAAAAATTTAAAAAAATTACGTCGTTTTTTTTCGCTTACATTTTTCCGCTTACAAAAAACAGGTCCTGGTCGGATTTGAACCATTTAACTTTGTCTTTTTAGGTAGATGTGTTAGCTCTTCGCCACATGCGCGAATGAAAGTCTGACTTTTGATTTCAGATGATCCAAAGGTAAATGATTCAAGTGATTCTGTTAGAGTAATTGTTAGCCCGAAAAAAGCCTATATTCCGGTTTGATAAGGCTTGCTTATCGCAAGCGTAATTATTAAAAAAGATTGAGCAAAAATAGGACGCGATATTCCGCAAAATTCGCGATACAGGCAAAAATAAGCAAAATAACGAATTTGGCCAAATTTGAAACAATTTGTCAAGAACTCACAATAAATCGAAGTTCATCATGATCAAGAAGATTTAAATATTTCTATGCAAGTAGTACAGCAATTCAATAATTCATTCATTCTTAAAAAAAAATTTCACACATAGGCGAAGCAGAGCTTTGCATAATTTGCGAAGCACAAATTTTATGAAAAATTATTTAGTTCAATCCCGGAAAAAGTCGCATGTCTACTTTTCTATATATCGGCTGAAAATTATTTCAAAACAACTTTCGTTCAGCAAATTCATTCAGACTTCCTTCAAATACTAAAACTTGCCTGCAATGTAATAAATCTGCTGAGAAGACAATCGAGAAAAGCAATTGTAAATAGAAGAAATGATGAAAAACCGAAAAACGGATGAAAACAGTAAATAAGAGAAACATATAAATCCATGACTAAAAATGTTTTGATTTCAGATCAGGGCGAAAAAATAGCTAACCTGTCCAAAACATAAACAAGGTTCAATAAATTTTTTTTTAGAAAATTTAGTTGAACAAAAACCGTTGAAAACAAACAAATGGACGATTTTATATAAAATTAGGATATTAGGATAAAACTAAAAAAGAAGAAGAACTAGGATATAGAGTTAGAGAAATACAAACACTGTTTCACAAAAAATAGCCGAAAAGATTCAAAATTGGCATCTCAAAGCAATAAATTGTTCTCCAAACGTTGAATAAAAAGTATCAAACAGTTTGGATTTTTTATTTGAAAGTATTTTTGTCTTCTAATCTTTAGCTTATCCAATGAAAAAGCTACCGGCTTTGACATATGAGACTAGAAAGCTACTAAACAACTATCAAAAGCATGCAGTCGTTTACAAAAAAAATAATCAGAAAAGTCGACCGAAAAAAAAACTAATTATCAAAGACTTAACAGCCTCAAAAACTTTATGACTCTTCAAAAACGGAAGAAACAATTTCGAAAATTTTGTTCATCTAAAGAAAAGTTCAAGTTATTTAAAATTATGTGTAATTTTTAAACGTCACTCGCCATTTTGTGAGCCGTTCTCTCTAAAACGGAATAAAACTTTTCGGCAGCAATACTATTGTAAAAAAAGTTACAGAAAAAAGAAACAAAAATTAATTACACAAGATTTTTTATCTGGGAGTTTTTGTACTTTTTTCGGGCTATTTGGACTTACGTTAGCAGAGAACGTTACTTGCCTTCGTTTTTGCAAATGAATTTGTATTAAACTTAGCAATCAAACATCAAACGGCGAAAAAGCAAATTGGAGTGTGATCAAACTTTAAATCTTCTACAAAAAAACTATGTCTTCATTTTATTCAACGAAATTTCAAAATATTTTGTACTCAGCCGAAATTTTAAAAACGCTATAAGAAATTGTTGACAAAAAAATTTTGAGCAATTAAATTTTAAAATCTTGCAACACGAACTACCTGAATTTTTCAAAAAAAAAACAATCACTTTTTCCCTTTGACGCAAAACAAGTTAACGACAGGAAAATTGTTGTCCTACCTGCCCGATGTGGCAAGTAAGCAGAAAACACGCAGGCAAACAAAAGTACGACAATTCGATTTTTCCCTCAAAAAAGTTGTCAATTTTATTCAAAACGTGAAAAAAAACAAGGTCTGGCCGTGACTCAAACCCCCGACCTTCCGTTACATAGGCAATCGCGTTTCCTCTAGGCCAAGTGCAAACGAGCCTGGAAGTTGAAAATGTTTTACACACAGGCAAAGCTAAGCTTCGCAAACACTTGCAAGAACACGACCAAAAAGCAGCTCTATCAAGTGAAATGAGAAAAAGTAGAAATAAGCCTCGAATTAGCAAAAACTGGGCTACGCGTCGGATTCGAATCTGTGACTTAGCAAAATTTGAGTCTCACGCAATAACCACTCAGCCACGGGAGCTTCACATCCTAAAGAACTAGCTACCAAAAATGCAGCGAAATATTATATTTAATTGCCAATTCGATGCAAAAGTAGCACTAAATACAAAAGACACAATTTTGCATGTAATAAATTGGAAAGCATAAAGCAAAATTATGTATAAATAATTCATTTCAAAAGTTGCGAAAAATTCTCAAATCAAACTTTTTATCATAATACTGCTGTTTGAAACATAACTTTTTTCGGTTCATTTGATGAATTTAAAACGCATCAGCTGTGTTAACTTTTTACTAACCAAATGTCAAAGCACATTAGATTTTATACTGCTACCGCAGCCTTCCAATTCAAAAGTGCCACCCAAAGTAGCACTTTTATTTGCCACTTATGTTGAAAAAGAAGAAAGTTCGTACTAATATACTTTCCTTCGCGAGTGTAATGATAATGCAAGAAATAAAAGCAACCAAGATTTGAGAGAAAAGTTGTAAAAGGGCCCGATTACAAGACTTGTTTTTTTTCAAAATCTTCAACTTTTAAATTCCGAAGAAAACAATAGTTGGCCTTGAAGCTCTTAGAATTTGTAGAAAAATTTATGCTGGATTTTGCTATTAATCCAATTTGAAAAACTGGATCAATACGTAAACCTTTTAATTCGCTGGGAAATCTGATAAATAATTTCCATTATCGAAATCAGAAGTCGATCAAGTTTTTCGTTTTGGTGACCTTTGCAATTTTGCCGTACGAAAGTGGAGTTTGCCTTCCTTTTAACAATGGAAATGCTCTGAACTTTAAAAGAAACCGCAAGTCAGAGAGCTCAAAAATCAAAATTGAGCGTACAACAACTTTAAGACTTTTTCCTCAAAAAAAAAACAGAAAAAATCAGCAAGACTTATATAAGAGTGCACACTACGTTAATTTCTAAGTTATCCCAATTTGAGAAAACTGCATCAATAAGTAAAATCTTAAACAAATTCTACGACTTTTCCTGAAAAAAAAACACAAAAAAAATCATCGTGACCTATATGAGAATCTGAGCTAAGTTCATTGACTCTTTTTGTCGAAAACAGGAGTCAATTTCATGCGTCTGGAGTGCAAAAGATAACTTGTTTTTCCCGAAACAAAACTTTTCCGGAAATTTTTGTAACCCCACGCACGATAGGCTTTCCTACATAGGCTTTCAACCGCTCGAAAAAATTAACCCTGTGCCATAGTTCATACACGCGCTGTGAAGATCGTAACAACAAAATATTGGCTAGAAGCTACCTATGTGATCAATAATTGTATTGAATGTGGAACTGATTAGCACTCGTCGGCGGAACTCATAAGACTTTTTTATTAGCCCCAGCCCAGAGGAGGCTGATAACACTGGGGCCCCTCTAACCGTGATCAAAGCGAGATTCGAAACCACGACCTTTGTTTCAAAGGCTGCTCATCTTACCAACTCAGCCACGGTTTCTCCTGATAAAGAATTTTATTGCTCCGCAAAAAATCATGAAAAAAAGAAAAACGTATAATAAAATCTATCGGTTACAAAAATTGAAATTCAGTGGTAGCAGATAAGGCATTTTATTGAAAAAAAAACTAATCTATAGAACAGATATCGCATAAGGCGCACTCCATAGACAAGCAAAAATGGCAAAAAAAAGGACTTTTAAGAAGCAACAAAATACAAAAAGAGGTAGAAAAGATTTGAAAAAGAAGAATTCACTACTCACAGGATTTGAACCCCCATTTCCAGTCCAATGCCTTAACAAATGTCCAATACCGCCAACCTGTCTTTCTCGTTATCTGTTATATGGCTTTCATGTGTCCCAAATCGATATACCAAAATTAAATGAAAATCAAAACATGAAAGCAACTTGAAACTATAATTGAAATGCATTGCATCAGTTAGCAAATGCTAAGAACATTTTTGAATTAAAGTTTATTGTCAACTTTTTAATGCTCTTTTTCTTTAAAAAATTAGTAATTTACAAAAAAAACTAGATATTAACCTGTCTAGATATCTGCAGTGTTTTGTGACAGTAAATGATTTAGGCACCATCAATGTGAATATTACTTTTAAAAAACTGATTCGTACCTGTTAAATTTGCGACTTAAAATTACCGGTAGATTCGAATATAACACCACAGTTTGATTGTGTAAAAAATTACATTAGAATGTATAACTGTAGCTAATAACTTTTTTACTTGTACTAGTTACAAATTACTTGTTCACCGCGAAAAAAGAGGAGCACAAGCAATCATCCTCGTCGTCATTACTTATTTCAAACTTGAGCTAAACTTGCCTTTGATATGTCGATGAGTGTGGATTCGGGCGTGTCCTCCTCCGCCAAACCACTGTCCTGTTGCCAGTCACTGCTTTCTTTCATCACTTTCTCCCCCCTCCTTCCCACCACACCCACTCCCAGTCCATCCGGTCTCTTCTTGATGGTCGCAACTGGAGAGGAGGACGAGGGGTCCACATTACCCCACACATTCTTGACCTGCAAATAGTTCTAAGCTCTAAACTGCGTGAACTAAACTCAAAACTGATCGGAAAATATTTAATTATTTTTCTGACAAATTCACGAAGTGGGAAGGAACAATGGCGCCTGTTTTTCCCGAACTTTGACTACATTAAAGAACACTCATAGATGTCAGGTGTTGTATCAGATTGTAGCCCTCAGATATTGTATCAGATGTCAGGTGTTGTATCAGATTGAAGTCGAAGTTGTCGCAGAGTCGAAAAAAAACTATGGAAAAAAAAACTCTTTTTTTTTTGTTTTCAGACTACTTATTTTTGAGACAGCTATAATTTTTTGAGAAATTCTCAGCTGTATGTTTTGATATTTTTCCGATGTTTTTATGGTTTTAGCTGCACGCCACCACTTGCGATACAACCTAAACATAATATGACAACTAACAATTGTAGCCCTTTGAGACAAAAGCTGCCAAAAAAAGTTTGGAAATGCCAAAAAAAAGCTAGATTTACCAAAAAATTTCATATCTTTGCCTTGAATAAAATTCCCTTTTTAACAAAACACGGCAAATAAGACAATTGACACTTACATCGAAACAAAGCGATACGAAAGCATACAACTTTTAAGCAGATATGCGTGAGCAAACAAGTGCTTTCATAAAAAACGTTCAAATTTTTTTTACCTTATAGCTGAAAAAGACACTCGCGCAAGAAAATTTTTTCGCTCATCCAATGATGCAATATGATGCCACCACGCCGACTAAAAATAAACCGAAAAAAAATAAACGTTTAAGCCGAGAGAACAAAGAAAGAAAAACAAAGAAAAAACTGAATTATACCGAACCGGAGTTGGTAAGTTTAAACCCAACATAAATAACAAATATTGAATAGAACGGGTATTTGAAATGCAAACAATCAAAATATGTATTCTGTTTTTCAAAAATGCCGATTTGAGAAAATGATTCAGTGATGTTGAAAAGTTTCCAGAAAAAAAAACTTAAATTCCATACTGAAAAATCGTCTCAAGCCGGTGTGTTACCTCTAACGCGAGACGCGCTGGATGATTGATTGATTTTGAAATTATTATGAAATCATGAAGCAAGATGATAACTCTGAAAAATTGTGAACAAATTATTACGGGAATTAAAAAAGTCTGGTATCCGGTAGCAATAACCTTGCTTTTCACAAGGGTAATTCTTAAATTCTTGCGGTCAGAAAATTTTTTGCTACTTGCACCGCAACCAGCTATCCTTGTTCAACTTAATGACTTGTCATCGAAAACCTAATTGTCGATAACTTGAAAATGCCAGTATTGACAAGCTAAGCTTTTACTTGTTTTAAATACGCAGATATTAGCAAGACATTTCAAAATTTCTTCAGCTCAGGCAAAATTTTCTAGCTTTCTTAATTCCAGATAAAACCTCCTAATCAAACTTTTCAGACACTCACGAATGTTTCTGCTTGCAAATCATTTTTTCCGGTTCATACAATTCGCATACTTGGCGCCTGAATTTCTGATAAATTTGAGAGTTTACCCTACCCGTCTGGTATCGTCACTAAGTACCAAGAAGAGGATATTTAGGAGGGGAAGGGGTTGGCAACAAGAATTGGGATAGTGGGCGATTCCCTTGAACATGCTATTTGTTCTACCTGCTGGAAGGATCCGTTAGCTGCTGGGAAACTCTGTCCTCCGGCTGCGACCGTGTTCCACGCTTTCGACGGATGGGGTCTTTGGGCCGAAGCATTTCTATTTGGCCTCTGATTGACAGTAGATGGAGTCAGTGGTTGATTGTAGCTTTGCATGCTTGTCGTTCTTTTTGGCCGTACAGCACATTATACTTGGTGGCACATCTATCTTAAACTCTAGCCTAATTAGCCGTGCAATGAAGATTGCAAGCTAGCCATTCAATTGTGTAACTCTGAAATAAAAACGTAAAAATGAATCGTAATTTTTGACTCCGCCGAAGACAGGGGAGAATGTATACCAGTTCCTGCCGAAAACAAACGTTTTCTCATTGATAGGTTTTCTTTATAAAAATAAGTTTAAATTGTTTAAAAATATATATAAAAGTTGTTAGCATCTTTAGCAATTTAAGCTTTTCTGAAGTCTGTTTTTTAGCAGTTTTTTTGCCAACTTTTTAAACTTTTATCTATTTATAACAAAGAAAGCTAAATCAATTTTTTCGGGCAAGTCTATTTGCAACAAAATTTTGTAATTTAGTCGCGAAGACTGAGTTGTTTGCTTTTTCAATGAAACTCTTGATTTTTTCAGTGGGCAATTTGATTTTTTTAATTGTTCCGACTTTCGATACGAAAGTAACGGAATATTTGTGCTCGTGGTGGGTTTTTTTTTCTTCAGACAAATTTCGACTTTTTAACTAGCCATTTTTGACGGAAATTTTTTATATCATTCGAAAGCCATTGTTGTCCTGAGCTTAAATTTGAAAAGATATTTCACCTGTGATCTTTTTTCGTAAAGTTATGAGGGTTTAAAGATTGCCATTTTGACCAATTTGGGACAATTAACGCACGATATAATTCGCGCTATTAACGCGTAAGCGGAAATTTGATCCTTCTTATAAATCATTCCAAATTGGTTGAACGAAGCTTATTTGCCATTATTGATTTGTTACAAGGAACGAAATCTAACTTTTTGTACTTTATATGGCGTGTGGGGGGATGATTTTCATAAAAAATTTCAAATTTTAGAAAAAAAATTAAATGAAAAAAAAATTTCATTTTATTTTTTTTTCATTAAATTTTTTATGTTTTTACTACTGCTCCATAAACCTTATAAGACAGTCGGAACATTCAGGGCTTCGCCCTGATACGAGCAGTCTTGTTTGATTTTGGACCCAATAATTTTAACTCAAATAAAAATTTAAATCAAAATTCAAATTTGTTTTTAACTAGCGATCCAATGTAATTTCAACTAGCAATCCAATGCAGAATGTTCTGCATTAAAATGATTATCGCAAGTCATTAAAATATATACAAGAAAATCATTTGAAATTGCTCACTCAAATAAAAATCTTTGTTTTTTCGAAAAACAAAATACTTTTTTCGAAAAACAAAAGCATGAATTATCTCCAAAACGGCAAGTGTCAGTTGTCGATTTTTGAAGCTATAAAAATATTCAGCGGATTCAACAGCAGAACCTGGTAACACAAGAAAAAATGATTAAAGTTTTGTTTCGAAATTGAAAACAGCACCGGGTGGATTTTCTAAATAATAAATTAGGCTTTATAAATCAAGCCAAATCAACCATAGAGAAGATCATATTGTATAGATACACTCAGGGGCGGATTTAGGGGGGGCGGGCGGACGCCCCCCCCCCCCCTTCTCAGGGATTCGTCCCCCTGCCGACCCAAAGGGTCCCCCCTTTGATACTTTTTCAGAAATCCATTTTTGGCCGACCGACACTAAAATTTTTCAAAAGGCGCCTTATATATACTATATAGTATATATGGGCGCCAATATATACTAACTTTGAGGGGGAGCTAGCGAAACAAAATTTCCATAGCTTTAAGTTTGAAGCTGGAGTATCATACACTTGAATTCAAAAATAGAAGAAAGAAACAAAAAACGCCCAATGGCTGCGTTTGAAAAAAGTATATACCTTCAGTATTTTGTTTTGTTATGTAATTTACACTCTTGGATAAATTGATTAATTCTTCTAAGTCTCATTACACAGAAGCAACGCTTAGCTTCACACCACATGGAAAACAGTAAAATTCACCAGTAGAAATTAAGCTAATAGGGTTTCTAATGAAGAAAAAAAATAGTCCAAACTTCATTGGTACCCCAGCAAACATTGGTATCAAACTTCACTTAAGAAGCCGTCAAGGCGCAATATTAGTCCTTCTTTTGTGGCGAAATAACAATCAGAGTTGAAGAACTGGATACTGTCCACTCCTTTTATTTCAACAGATCTGAAATGGTTTTGTCCAACTTTCTGATATCTTTCTGAGTCGTACGCCTGATATGCAAACTCACATTCATTTTCCATAATAGAATAGACTATGGCAACAACGTTGCGATTAACAGTCTCAAAAGAAGCTCGACTGTTCGTCAGAATTCGAATTTTTGATTGACCAAAACCATCCAGCGTAACAATATCTCTTTTCAAATGATCTTTTGTGACATGTTGAACATAAAACAGGAGAAGCTTCGACACAAAAGGAATTATATTCAAATTGGTAGAAGAAACAAAAACGTATTCTGGAAGACCAAAAGTTGATTCTCGATATGTACAGTCGGAAAATTTCCAATGATGCGTATAGTCTGGATATTTCATTTCATTAAAATAGTGATGAAATTCTCCATCGTTGTAATAAAACCCCATTAAATTCGAAACGTGTATTTCCCATCGATCTGTTACTTCGACGTTTGCATTGTCAGTCCTGAGAGCACGAAATCCATGTTGATCATTTTGAAACACAATCCCACCAAAACAGGAGAACATTTGAAAAAATTGCTTATCAACATTTGGAACCCGTTTACAAGTGTTGCGGCCTTGTTTATCAAAGAGATCAAATGTAACCTCGCTATCACCGTCACTGAAATGCGCAACGCATAAATGCGAATCAGAAGCAGCCAACGATATTTTTTTGGTTTCTATATGAAGCAATGTATCTGCAGAAGTCAGGAATTTTGCTATGAGTTCGCTCAATAGCTCCGAAAACTTCTGCTGTGAAATGGTCAATAGCTACTCGAATTGATTTCTTCAGATTTTGCCTAGGAGCAATGAACAAGCTACTGGTATCTCCTGAAAAAGCAGGAAGCAGACATAACTCGTGATGCTTTTGATCATCCAGACAACCTTTAGTGAATTGTTTCACCAAACATCCATCAGAAAGACCTAATAAATCTCTCATTTTGCTTTGCTTTGACTCCATTGAATCTCGGACACCTTCAATATTTTTGAAAACTTCGATAGCCTTGGTTTCGGCAGTCATCGCAGACTCTGAAACTTCATTGATCTCTTGATCAAGCTCGTCTAGAGTTTCGCGGAAAATTTGAAGCACCTGCTCTTTAATGGCATGATCTCCCGACAGATCCGAACGAAGTCTCGTCATTTGTTCCGAAACCAGTTTAGCATCATCTAAGTTTTTCACAGTTGCTTTGTATTCTTTGTCAACTTTACTAATAGCCTCGTGAATATCTCGTTTTATCTCATTCGCTCGCTGTTCCAATAACATGACAGAGTGTTTTTCGATAGCATGTTGAGGCAAGCAGATGTTACAAACAAGCCGATCGCAATCTTTGCAAAAACAATTGCAATATACTAAATGCTGTTCACAGACAACTGCTTTCATTTGTTTATAGTCCAAAACTTCGTGTTTTCTTCTTGTATGTGATGTGATACACACTTCACACAAGAACGAGCTCACATTTTTTTCCGATAAAACCGACTTCAATTCACATGTCGAGCACTGATACTTTAGTTTCACGTCTTCGATAGGCATAGTGCATTTTTCGCAGTTAGTTGAATCCTTGCTTGTGCTCGAGCAGGATTGAGTTTGATCACAATCCATGGCAACGTCGCAAATCAAAATAAGTTTAATCACGCATCATCTGAAAATCAAATAATTTGGATGTGAACTAGAGACATATCCCATTTGAACCTTAACCAGAGTTGAGTTGCACACAGGCGAAGCAGATTTTCACGCCACTTGCACATCATCAAAACACGGAGCAGAAGTTGCACTTCGAATACATAAGCAAGAAAGCCACAGATAGAACTAGTAGTTCTATTAAAGCTGGAGTTTTCGTGTTCTTTCACAAATTACTAGATTTTGAGCTCCAAAAAAATCAATATAGCAAAAATCTATTTGAAATTCGGCGAAGTCCCATTTGTGCCAAGGTTCATTTGTACCAAAATTAAAAATCGGTCCCATTTGTACCAAAAATATTCAACTCGATTCCTGATTGGTCGAATTGTGAGCCAACTAATTATAAAATTAATTTTCTACTGTTCAAATAGAAGAAAACTAAACAGCAGAATAGTGACCACCGCACTCACGCCAACGTGTTGCGAGCTTGCCAACAGAGCGTACGACTCCACATACAAAATTAGAGCCGGTAATACCTTAGCAAAAACCCTTTAGGTCGAAATTTTTTTAAAAAAATTATCAAGTCCACCACACCCTCAAACAAAGAAACAAACAAACAAACACACACACTCAAGCTTTATTCACGGTTCAAATGAAACAATATGCGGCCACTATGCCGATATAATTATTGTGCAGTATTTCTATCGCGTAGCTCTATGTATAAGGAATCGGTCAAATAACAAGATAGGGCGATCAAGGACTATTATTATATGTTACTAACTCATAACGAATATTATAGCGACAATGAGAGCGCGCATACTAAATCGTCACATACACGTCACTGGTATGACCTGAAGGTCAACGTCTATTGTGTAGCCTTCAAGGCCGAACATAAATGATACTGCACAAAGATAACTTAGTAACGCATTTATAAATAGTATATAACTAGAAAGGCCATTATAAATAATATATAACGGATAAAAAGATATATATAATCCGGACGGATAACAATAATATTGGCCGAAACTGAAAAAAGAATGAAAATAGAAAAAAACAAAGTCGAAAAAAAAAATTTACTAAAAAATTTACTACTTAAAAGTTATTAAGTCACCTTCAACCCTCACCCTCAACACACAGCAGATCGTGCAACGAAAAAATATTTGGCAACTAAGCCATTGTAATATAGGCCAAAATATATCGAATCGAAAAAAAGACAAGAAAAACAAAAAATCAAACATTTTTAAGACTAATAAGAAGTTATTAAGTCCCTTTCGCCCTCAAAGGACAGACACGCAGACACAAACTTTTTTCGTGCATCAAAAGGCGCAATATGCGGCCATTAAACCGAAATAATATAGGCTGAAAAAAATTGGGCCGAATGAAGTTTTTAAGCGAAACAAAAAAAGGAAATGCAAAAAAGGCAGAGTAAAATTACAAATTCCTGGAGTAAACCAAAACACTACAAGCAACTTTAAAGAAAATTGCGTGCAGCAAAACAATACGCTAAGATATGGCGACTAAGCCGACAAAACATACGCAGACAATTAATAGGCCGAAAATTTCATTTCAAACAAATTATTTCCCGTTCGATAAAAAAACAGGTCTTCATCAGGCTCTAACCCAGGACTTTTGCCGCCCCAGGCGTACTCGTTACTCCAATTAAGTGTGCCGGAAGAGCTAAAAAATATGAATTCATAACGAACCAAGGTAGATGAGTCCAGTGAACAAAGTTATTTTCAGGAAAAAATGTAGTTCTCAATTGCAGTACCCTTGCTTATTGCAAGAAAAAGAACATTCTTTTGCCATCGAACAACTCGTCATGAGGCTACTAAAACGACATGATATAACCCGAAACTTTCCAAACTGAAAACAGTAGAAAAAGAAACAAAACGGAACATAGCCAACAGCAGTTAAAAAGAATCAATAACGCAATGAAACAGAAAATTTGACGTGTTTTTAGAAAACAGAGCCAACAAACAGTTTGAAAAAAGCCAATGAACCCAAGTTTCAGAAAAAAACGACTTACTGTTGAAAAAATCTCAACTTTCGAATTTGAAAGAACAAAATAGATGCCCTTAAAGCTTAGAACTTCTAGAATGATTTATGAGTGCCAATTATGATGAAACTAACCCAAACTGAGAAAACTGGATTAACAGGTAATTTTGTAATTACGCTGGAAAATCCTTAAATAAAATTCCAATTGCGAAACTAGAAGTCGATCGCGTTTTCGCGGTATTTACATCTTTGATGTTCGATTGTGGAGTTTGCCTTCCTTCTAACAAAAGAAATGAACAGAACTCATAAGTCAAACCGCGACAAAGTAAACTTAAGCCTGAATAAATTGTAAGACGTTTACTGAAAACACTATCAGCGTCGAATGTAAGAGCCTGAATTATGTTCATCGACTCTTAAAAACTTCAATATTTGAAGTAAGAAATATAGACTTGGAAAATACAGATTTAGAGATGACTACCAATTTGAGTCTTCCTGTGAACAAAATTATTTACAAGAGAAAAAGTCGTGTACCTGATTGCAACACCGTTGCTTGAAATATGTTGACTGCAATGAACAGTTAAAAAAAGCAGCATACCAAGCAAACTTTTACTTGAATGAACCCCCTAAACTTGTCTGACTCAAAGCGATAATTTTAGAAAATATTTGAAAATTGTTTCTAGCTTCGCCAGTCTTCGTCTTTCAAATATAAAACTTTACAAATTAGTACGTCCCTGATTTAACTACAACTACTAATCAATAACACATTTTTAAATTTCAAAACAACTTCAAAAGCTCATCATCAAATTTTTTCTCTTCATGATAGCACAACATGCTTCTATATTTATTCCGGAGCATATCTGTCTATTTCCTTTAGATCCTCGTTCAATTCTTTCAAGAAATTCGATTCTTGAATTTTGTCCCAGATATTGAACAATTTTTCGTGCATGATCAGTTTAAACCAGGGCGTGAACACTTTCCGCTCTTTTTTCACCCAATGAGACAATTCTTCTTTTCCCACCCATTTTGTATCCTGAACTTCATTTTTGTTCACGTTATCAAGGTCAATAGTCTTCTTTGCAAACAGAAGATAATCAATTTCATGTTCCATAAATTCATCAGGGAATGTTTTCACACTGTTCCCAGCCTGATAATGGACGCGCCCTCTAGCGGCGAAATCTTTCACCGACAGAAATGCAGTCGCAACTCCGAGTTCGTAGTTAAGACGACGAATAGCTGCTACCTTCACTCCTTCCCAGCCATTTTTCTCGTGCTCGATTTCAAATAACGGGTGGCTGCAACAAGCATTACTCCATAAATTAGGGTACGTAATTTTAGAACCCGCTCTTTGCTGTAGCAGCATTTTTGTGCCTTCATTGTTGAAAAGAAAAACACTAAACGCTCTATGGAGCATTCGTTTCTGTTCGATGTTCGTTTTGAGGTGGCAATTCTTCTTCGTCTCTGATCCTATAATGTTGTCGTCTCGATCAACCAGAATACATCGTTCCTCCATCAGTTTGATTTGCGTCTCGTCAAGTTTCGAGCAGTCTACTGCAGTATTGCCTATCCTCACAAGGTTGTTAAAGGTCAATCGAACGATTCTTCCATTTCAAGAAATTAGCAAACCACACTTCCGAAAATAACCTCTTTGAAAAAATAAAAAGTAATCAAGAAAAAATGATGTTTTGTCAACCAATTCCCCAAAACGCCTTCGAGTATCAATTACTTCTATTTTCACATTTTCCTTAGAATCAAATAATTGTATAGAGGGGCAGATCTAGGAATTTGACATTTGGAAAGGTGATCTTAAAAATATTGATCCTCGGAAAACATTTAAGAAAAAAGTATAAAAAGCAATTTCTGATTACAGTATACAACTACACCCCCTCCCTTCCCCCTCCATAATCCCTCCCTCCCCCGCACAACGCTAGCTAAATTCGAACGCCAATTGACTTTTAAAAACCTTGCCTGTCATAATATTGCGTTTATTCTTAGATTTAGAATTGGAATTCAAATTGCAGAGTGGTGATATGATCTTTGAGAGCAGCAATTGCTTTGGAAGGCCTCTTGTACTTCGTGTTAGCATACTACAAGTACATGACAAATATTTGAAATCCCAATCTCTTCAAAACATCGCGGTTTTTCAAACATCTCAACCGCAATCTAAACACATCTGAAATAGGTCAAGATAATTGATAGCAAGGAACTAACTAGTTCACTTCAACATGATGAATCATAAGCTATTCTTTTATATTCAAAAATGAGTTCATATTAGCCTAAATTGGTTTTAGACAATCAAAATACATTCTCAGTATATTTTTTCGAAATCACCATCAGAATCGGTATACATTTATCAGAACATTTCGCCCCTACTAAAGCTAAAATCTTCATTTAATTGAAGGGAACAAATCCTAACAGTTCAACCTAAATCGCACCGCGACCATTTCATCTAATTGCATCCAGCATTAAATTTATCCCAAACAGTACACAGAGGCGAAGCTGCACCGGTCATATACAAGCAAAAAATGGACAAAAAGCTCGAAATTATCAAATAGATTCCTTGAATAAGACTTTGGAGACCACGAATTTTCAAGCCCCGCATCCGTTTCCATAGGCAAATGTTAACAGCGCCAAAAAACAGCTAACTGGCTACCACCCACTTATGCTTGAAATACAGATAGCGAAATATGGGCTTTAAGTCCGCATATATAGCTCTTGTTAATTAAAATTGCAAAAAGTAACTGTACAAAGAAACTGTGCAACAAAAAGTTGAAAAAAGTAGCCTCGTAATATAAAACAAGCTCCGCTTGCGTAATGATAAGATGGGTACTAATCATTTGTTTTGAAATATTTTGAAAATTAACCACGTTTCTGATTCAGTTAACAGTTTCATTCAAATTTGATCCCCTGTGCTAATGGAAGTTCTTTGCTGTAATTAATAGTGCACGTTGAGCGCCTCATGTATTGCTTCCAAGCATCGCTTCCCGACTCACGTCCACCTCCCGTGTGTTTTTCACCGCCAAATGCTCCCCCGATTTCGGCCCCGCTGGTGGGTATATTCACATTTGCCAACCCGCAATCAGAACCCGCGGGTCCCAACCACCTAAAGATCCGATTTGGGTCTTTCGTGAACAAACTACTAGACAACCCTTGATCGACCTCGTTATTCCAAGCCACTGCTTCTTCAAAACTCATACATTTCATCACATACAAAATCGGCACAAACGTTTCGGTCAAAACCAGTGAATTGTTATGGTCCAACCCGGTAACTATAGCCGGTTCAACAAAATTACCATCAAAACCAACATCCGCTTTTGTTCCGCCGCAAACAACCTTCCCGCCGGCCTTTTTAATATTCTCAATTGTCAACAAAAATAGCTCAAAAGCAGCCTTATTATGCAGGGGTCCACACAAAACTCCGGTTTCCAGGGGATTTCCAATTTTAACCTGCTTGTACGCTTTAGTTAGCCTCTCCAAGACTTGGTCATACACTTTTTCGTGAACTATTAGGCGTCTTGTTGTGGTGCATCGTTGACCTGTTGTTCCGACAGCCGAAAAAAGAGTACTTCGTACCGCCATTTCAAGGTCTGCGTCTTCCATAACAATGATAGCGTTGTTGCCGCCCAGTTCCAAAAGCGACTTTCCGAATCGTTTTTGGACCGCGATGCCCACTTTGCTTCCCGCTGCGCAACTTCCCGTGAACGAAACCAATTTCACTCTGTTGTCGTTCACGATCGATTCCCCGACGTCTAGACCTCCTTGTGCAATACTACAAACTGCTGGATTAACATCGTGTTTTTTAAGAACTTCTCGCATGATTCTATTCACGGCGATAGTACACAAAGGAGTCGAAGGCGCACCTTTCCATAAAAGGGAATTGCCACATACCAAAGCTAACGACGAATTCCATCCGAAAGGAGCAACAGGAAAATTGAATGCAGTGATAACCCCCACTAATCCTAGTGGGTTGTATTGTTCGATTAAAGCATGACCAGGTCGCTCCGAGGGAAAGACTTGACCTCCGAACATTCTAGAAAGCCCCACAGCAAAGTCACATATGTCTACAAATTCTTGCACTTCGCCAATTCCTTCGGGCAAAATTTTGCCCATTTCTAGGGCAACCAGACTGCCAAGTGGTATCAAATTATCTCTCACTGCATTTCCTATTTCCCGAACAATTTCACCCCTTTTAGGTCCCGGAATTTCTCGCCATGTTAGATATGCTTCCGACGCTTTGGCGATCGCAGTTTCCGTATCGTTTGCAGATGCCTGCGCAACTCTGGCAATGACTCGTCCTGTTGTCGGATCCACTGAATCAATAACTGATCCATTGCCATTTTGCTCAGTTTCGTGACATAGGCCAGGATTTATTTCAGAAAGACCAAGTTGCTTTAGGAACGAGAAATTAGAATCGTTAACTAAAAGTTCCGAAGATTTTGAGGAGAGTAATCGAGAACCATTGTAGCTGAAGGTATTTTTGATAGGAATCGTGACCAGTTTGGAACAAATACAAGAAGCTCTGATCATACTGGAGTCAAGTGAAAATAAATATTGCACAAAAATCAAAACAATATCTGAAAAAAAAAACGAAAAAAAAATTGTATTTAATAAAAACAAACGCTCGGTGCATGTTCAATTCAGCCTATCCGAATCAGGGCATAAATTTCTCGAGTAATTGCTGATTTTTTGATGAAAAAACCAAAAATAACATAAGTATAAACAACTCAAAAACAAACGACAAGAGATCTTTAATCAATAAACGCAATAAGCTTGTATAATCATAAAATCATTCAATTCGGTTTATAAAGACCAGATCATAGGACATAAACAATGCCATGCCTTAGGATTTCTAGGGTCGCAACTCTCCTCTGCTTTCGTTGACTTGGGACGACCTGCGCTTTTTATTCATACTTCGATCCGACAACGATTTCTACTCGTCGTTAGTCGGTGTCCGATCTCTCGATCGACTTCTGTCTCTATCTCTGTCTCTATGATGGTCCTTGTGCTTCTTAGCTGACCTCTTGTAACTGCGTGAACTACCTGACTTTTCATCATTGATCCCTGCTGCTCCACCTGTCCCGTTTTCCTCCTCACTGTTGTGTCTACCCCTTCGTTTAGTTCCACTTCGCTCTTCGCTCCTCTCACGGTCTCTGTGGTGTCGCTTTTTACTCTCTCTTTCCCTGTCAATTCATCAAATATTTCATCTAAAACTATTTATCCACGCAGAAAAGGACGATTGTACAATCTGTTCAACTCATTACGGAGAACAACTCCCTAAAAAGCTAATTTACAAGCACTTTGTGGTTTTTATAGCTCGGACATGATAACCTCAATCACAAGCAATTAACACAAACTGAATTTATCTTAATTTTTATTCAATTTTTCATATTTTTGTTTGAAAAACTTGTTTGATTGAAAGAGCTTTAGTCAATAATATAGAGTTACTGAGTCTAATTAATTAAACTTAGTCAATTCAGATTAATTTGTTAGGCAATGAAAAATAGGATTGCAAAAACAATCATTTAACACAATATTTCCAGAAGCAAATTATTCATTTTTTCGATACTGCATATTAAAAATGGATGTCGGTCAAGTTTTTCTGGTCGAATTTTTTCGGTATATCATATTTTCTACACCAATGCGGAACCAGCGTAAGAAATGGCTAAAACATAAATTTTTTATAATTCATGTTTTCGATTCTGATTACCTGCAGCAACTAAGAATATCTTCTGAGATCTTTTGTAATATTTCGCCTCACAAACCGCTTCGAGGGGTTGAGGGACGCAATGGGCTAACTTAATCCGAAAAATTAAACAAGTTTCCTCACTTGAATACCAGATGTGTTATAACCAGTTTTCAATATAGTTAGTTAAGCATTATACTTATGGAAACAATTTTATATTACCATCACTTTTATATCCAATAATACCTCTTTGATGCACCGCGAGTGACCCTATTATCAAAAACTCTTTTGAAAATTAAATTAACGTTGAGCTCAGTTCTTTAAAAACGAAGCCAACAGACTTTGGGAACAATGGTGACGGTGCTTTAAGTTTTCGAAGATTTTTCAAACAATTTGTAAAACCTATTTTCGGCCATTTATATGTATTGAACTGCTCAACAAAAAAAAACTTTTTAAAGCAAGAGCTTAGGATAAAACACAAAAATTATACGCAGAGACGAAGCTGAGCTTCGCACCACTTGCGTACACCACTGGCAGTTGGAAAAGAGAAATGAACGCGAGGAAAAAGAAAAAAAACTGACTTGTTTTTTAAAAACAGGCAAAAAATATATGCTCATGAGGCTCTTTTTGAATTTTAAGAACAAGTTAAGATGGGTGCTTTTTTGATAAAACTGGTTCAAAAAGTAAATCTTTAATTCCGCTAGGAAATCTGATATTTCAATTCCAATTTTGAAATTAGAGGTCGATCACGTTTTTTGTGACCTTGACAATTTTGTCACTCGACAGTGGAATTTTCCTACCTTTTAACAAAGGAAATGAATTAAATTTAAAAAAATCACAAGTCATACCGCGAAAAATCAAAATTGAGCGTGAACAAGTTTTAAGATTTTTTTCCGTCAAAAAAAAACAATATGAGACAACTAAGTCGACATAATATAGCCCGACTTAGCCCAAAAAACTGAAAGAGACTAATAAAAAGTTATTAGGCCCCTCCTCTCCCTCAAAACAAAGACACGCACAGACACACACACTTTTTTCGCTCACCGAAGAACGCGATATAAGGCCGATAAGCCCACATAATATAGGCCGAAACCTATCAAAGCGAAAAACGAAAAGGACGATGAAATTTTGTGATGAAAAATTTGAATAATAAATTCTTTTATCTTTAGCAATTTCTGCAATCCAGAGGCGAGCATAAAAATGTTTCCATTAAAAACTCGAAACTAGGTCACTAAAACAATTAATTACAGGATAAAATTATTTGGGCAGAAAATTTTTTTTAATTTAAGAAAAAAAGCAACAAAAAAAAGAAATATATACGATGTCAAGGTTAAAAAATCTACAAAATAACAGCAGAGCTAAATCAGTACACTAGAAGCAAATATAATGTAGAAAAAAAATTAAAATTCAAATAAGCGATTTAGTTGGATGGTTAAAACAAAGCGGAAACTAAGCCGAAAAAAATAAACTTAAATAGACGAAGTCGAAAATTCAAAAAAAAATCATTTAAAAAAATGAACGATAAATTGATTGGAAAAACACTAATAAGGATGCATAGAGCGATTATTAAAATAATGAGCGCAAACATACGACCAAAAAAAAGACTTTATCGATCAGAAAGTCGACTATTAACCGGATAGTTGACGATTAACTGGTGAAGTCAGTTTCAATTATACTGGAAAAAAAAACAATGACCGGCCGGCAATCGAACCCTACTTTAGGGAGCAAAGGCAACTTCGTTACCTCCAATTCAAGTGGGAAGTAACCTGGAAGTTGTTAAGGTCAGAAATGAAGCAATTTCAAGTTCTTACAGATATGTCAGAAAGTTGAGTACGGTAAAAAAAAGTTATAGTTCACGATTATAAGACATTTGCTCTCAAGCTTGTTTCAGTCAAATATCTGTGAAATAGCCAAAAACTAAAGGTAAGACTCAGTTTTAGAGTTTCAAGGCTCAGTTTAAAGTTGTAATTAGACACGCCATAAAAACCGACAAAATTTTAGCCGCATGACAAAATCTCCAAAAAATTGAATAAAAAACTCGTTATTGCGAGAAACAAAAGTTAGATCAAATGTCATAAAAATTTCAATTTCAGAAAAAAGTCAAGAATTACATTTAACAGCCTTCAATAAGCTTTTAGCATTTATCAGGCAGCTACTTAACCGACAACACGTGGATACTCGCCCATTAGTCCGAAAACAAAAAACGCCATAAGGAACTGTAGCTGTGGAAAAATTTGAGCGATTAAATTTCAAAACTTTTACACCACAACACACCTGAATTATATTTTAAAATTTAAAAAAAATCATTAAACAATAAAACAACAGCCGAAACTATTTTGATTGAACAAAACACTATTCAAAATTCGAAAAAAAATAAGTCAAAACCTTACTCAAATATGGAGGCTACGCTGGGCTTCGCTCAAAAATGAATGACTATTTGAAAATAAAAAAATTTGAAAAGAACCCTTCAAAAAATCATCCGTTAATGAAATTTATAAAAACAACTTTTATAAACTTGGACAAACTTGGGAAATTCAAAACAAAAAAAGACAGCCTTAAAAGTTTTGAGAACGATTTATGATTGGCACTGTTTAGATGAAAATAGCACAACTTGAGAAAACTGGATTATTTATATAACTTTTTTTCCACCGCAGAATTCGGAAAATTAAATTCCACTTTCGAAATTAGAAGTCGATCACGTTTATTGTGACTTTACGCTTTTGCTGTCCGATAGTGGTGTTTGCCTTCCTTTTTACAAAAGAAATGAACTGAAATTAAAAAGAAATCAAAGTCAAACAGCGAAAAATTAAATTAAGTCTTCAACTTTTCTGGACTAAAAAACGAAAAAAAACCATCGCGATCTATATAAAAGTGTAAAAATGTTCATTGACTCTTAAATAAGTCGGGCTACGTGAACTAAACCAACAAAAATAAACCGACGGCCGATAGTCCGAAAAAGCACAAAAACTCTATAGTTTGCAAAAAAAAGGTCTCGGCGGCATTTGCCGTCCCAAGCAGTTGTCTTAGCTCTACATCAGATGCACCGGATAATTGATTGAATTTAAAACTACCAGATGGTAACAAATCTGAAAATACCTGAGCAGAAGCCCTTCATGTCGAAAAAAATCAAAATTAATTTCAAAATTTCAATTGCCGTCCCCTCAGAGCACACACATGCATAAAAAAAAATTGGTCAACGACGCAATCAGAGGCCATTAAGTCGATATAAATTAAGCCGAAACCTATAAGGCCAAAAAAAAAGAAAAAAAAACGAAAGTTTAACAAATTGAGCTGGTAAAACTACAACCAACAAACAAAGCAAATTTCAATTAGGCCGGATATTTCAGACCAGTCCTGTGAACAATTTTATTAACGGGAAAAAAGTAATGCCAGATTGCACTACCCTTGACTATCGCAAAGATATAAAATAACAAAGTATGAAATGATCGTACGAATTACAATTATCTCGGGTGATGTTCATGAGCATACTTAAAAATCACTGGGTATTGTTTTCTGAGCGGGAACTAAGCCGGTAAAAATTTTTTCTACGCCCGTTGAGCCTAAAACAAAATTAATGTTAAAAAAAGTTTAGTTATGAAACAACTTTTATAAACTTGGTTCATAAAAATTTATAAAAACAACTTTTATAAACTTGGACAAACTTGGTTTTTATGAACCAACAAAAGAGGTGTAGTAAGTTCTATAGAAGTTTTTATGAACCAACAAAAGAGGTGACTAACCGCTAAAACATTGCCGAAACTGCTTAATCGACAAGAAACACCAAAAAAATATATATTAACAATCAAATACTACAAATTAGAGCAACTATCAATTAGAGGAGTAGTAAGATCGGTGGATACACATCGCTGAATCTACTAAATCAGATGGACTTAGTATGAATATAGCCAACAGACAGTTGGAAAAGAGTCAATGAAGGCAAGTATAACAGAAAAAAATATCAGACTCTTTTTTATTATTTTTATTATTCAATTGATTCTTCAAAATTTTTTTTCGAATTATCATAAAGTCAAGATCAAAAACTTAAATTGAGCAACAACATAAGGAAGGGAGGCCACATTTACATCCGCAGGTAGTAGATTGACATGACCCCACCAAAGGGTCAAAAAATTCGAAGTTTGAAAAAATCATTTTCGCAAAAACGTCACTTCTAAGAATGTAAAAGGCGTTGAGCAGTCATATTTTTAAGACCAGATAAACATCGTGAGAGTACGTTGGGATCACCCCACCCTAGCATTTAGTATTTAACACTTTTTGGAGTTTTTTTAGATCTTGACTTTTGAATTTTTTTTTGCAAAAGCATAAAAAACGGCGTGCTGTTTCTGTAACTAAGATGATATGAGACATCAAACTTGAAGGCAAGATCAGCCATCTCTGAAACAACCCTGAGAGCACCCAACCCAACTAAATGGTGTAGAATTTCAAGTTCTTAAACGTTTTTGTTTAAGTCCATTTTTTTTTGAAAATTTTGAAAAACGCCATACCACGAAAACAAAACAAAAAATTTCAGCAGTCAGAGCTGGAGGCACGAGTTGCAACCCCTAAGACTACCTTGACAGCACCCAGCTATAGGGTTGTGAAAAATAGATTTGAAGAAACTTCAATTGTTTTGAAAACTTCTAAAAGAACCTACAAGAAAAACGTGATATTTCGGAAACCAAAAGCATTTGAGCGGTCACCTTTGGAGGCAAGATTTTCAACCCATGAGAGTGTCTCGACAGTACCTGACTACAAGGTTGGAAATTTCAAAACATGGCAAATCGAAGATTGGAAAAGAGTAATGAACGCAAGACTCAGTAATGGACACTGACTTAGTTGAAAAAATCTCTAAATGATTTAAGCAGACATATCATGAGGCACTATTTCCAACCCCTGCAAGTTCCATGACAGCTTCCCCTGCAAGCTTGAGAAATTCAAATTTTTAGGAATTTTTTTAAACCTTATTTTTTGAAGAACTCACTAAAAGCGTCGAATCTCGTAAACTAGAAGGATTTGAGCAGTTATACTTGGAGGCAAGATTTGCAACCCCTGAAAACTACAGGGTCGAATATTTAAAACTTGGCGAAATAAATGCAAATTCAAACGAGAAAATCGAAAAAGTTTGTTAAGCATTGCAATATATGATATAGCTGAAATGTGAAAAAATTCTTCCGCTGAACATGCAAAAACAAAACGTTGAAAAAACTTTAACATGGCTAGATAGTGAAGCCCGCATTTAAATATATTATAGATAGATAGATAATAGATAGATACATTACAAAAAAGTAAGAAAAGTTGCTCACGGCAAATGTGTAATAATATCATACATTTTCAGGGCTGTTAAACCTGTACATGGTCCATACTAGGTACGCGTAAGGGCCTCTTGTCACGGAAAAAAAGTTATACTTCAATAAAACAGGAGATATCATTCATCAAGTGCGTACACATCTCACACGCGTACCCATTCTTGGCTCCCTTGTATATATACCAGCTGCCTACCAATAAAATGTATGAAATAGTGTTTACCTTGGAGAGTGTTCTCTGTCTCTATCTTTGCGTCTGTATTCTTTCGTCACTTGAATGTCATCATCCTGACTGTTTCCGTCTGGAGGCGAGGAGAGCGGCTCACTAAATAAAGCAGAACAGGTCATAACCTCATGATTCAGTTTGACTTGAAGGTAATTGAGTCTGGCATGTTATCGTGTCACATGTCACCAAGAGTCCTTTCTACTTCATTTAATTTGGGAAGAAAACGCAAAAATCATTCACAACATTTGTCTTGAATCCAAGAGTCCTTTCTACTTCATTTAATTTGGGAAGAAAAACGCAAAAATCATTCACAACATTTGTTTTATAGGAGTTTCAAAGGAATGCTGTTTGATCCCAACAGTTCAAACATTTAATACAAAGAAGCTCTCTGAACATACACTGACATCAATCGCCCTTTATTAAATTATTTCTTACGTTTTAAATTCCATTATGTCCAAATCAACAGTAGCTTTACTGGGAATTGCAGCCGCTGGCGGGAAGTTAGGGAAACCTGGAGGCATCCCTGGAAATCCAACTGGTCCCCCTGGCATCCCTGGAAAAGGAGGTAGTCCGAATGGGGGCATCGGTGGCATTCCGGGAATGAAGGGAGGCGGAAGCATTCCCCCTCTAAAATATTTTAACCACCATTATGCAAAATAGGGTCCGTCTAATCCTCTCAAAAACCAAAAAGGCTAATTTTAGGGAAAAATCGATTAAATTTTTCGAATCTGCTTTCCCTGTCAAAAATTCCTGTGCATGCCAATGGATCCAGTTGTTGGTTAATAAATAATTAAAATTGATACCAGGCCTTGTCATCGATCTATCCATAAAGCTCCAGCTTATTTGTAATCTTCTGAATAATTGACAAACCTTTTTGAACAATTGTAGAAGTTATCTGTATATTGTCAGGTGAAAGAATTGACTGTGTCAGAAACACTTAAATTGCTCGATAACTTACGGATCACTCGATATTTTTGGAAATGATCCAATCGAGATGGTGTTGTTAGCTGTACCGAGAGTGGTGATTGCATTGCCACTAGTTGGTGCTTCGCTCACAGTTACCGCTGACGTGGCATTTCCAGCAAGTCCCAAAAAGTTCTTCTGCTCTTCAGAGAAATTGTCACTTCTGGATATTGTTTGAATCACTGAAAATTAACATAAAATCAAATAGAGGAAACTACTGCTTTGATTTTAAATAACGATTCATACTCTGGGGGGCTTTGTATTCTCCTGTTATTGGAATTAGCTTGTTATTCACCTAGGCAGAACAGCAGTAAAAACAACACGAATTAAGTGACATTTGAGAACTTTGTAGGTTATACTGACTGCGGCTCCTCTCGTTGCTGCATCTGCTCTCATCCTCCGTTGGCGATCACAATACTGCAGCCAAGTGTCTTCGTTGAAGCCGTAATTGAAATAGTCGGATAAGTCCGCACCTGAGAATTTCAATCGAAAATACCGAGTTGGAATAATGATTTGAAGCGGAAAAAGGTTAAATAATTAAGTTACACAGTAATTGAAATTTTAACCTCTTGCAAAAATTATCGGCTATAATCTAACCTGGAAGTCTCCATGGTTTATCTTCTAGGGCTTCCAGGTCCATCTCCGTTAACAAGACGCCATTAACGGTTGGGATTGAATCCAGTTCTACGCCTGCTGTTTTCTGCTGAACGGCTCTTGTTCCAATGCCAGTAAGTTGGCCAACTCCTCCTTTGAATACTGTTCCACCGCTTCCCGTATTGTTTGTAGATACAGCTCCAACTTGTTGCGCAGCGATAACCATGGGAGGAGCAGTAGCAGCATTACTTTTAATAACAACATTCACATTCTCATCGTCACTGTCGTCTTCATCATCATCCAACGCATTATCAGTTTGAGATGGTTCGTCCTCGACTGGTGTTCCAGCCCTTTCCTGCTGAGCTGCAGTTTCAAGTTCTCCATTTGGTTGCTGAAGTGCCGTAGCTGCAGCCGACTGCGTTATACTAAATGTATCACAACTGACTTGAATTGGAACTTAATATTATCAAAAAATCAAAAACATCTGAAGTACTTACGCCGCAACATTCAGCTCTTCTGCCATTCAACTTTTCTTAAAAATAATAATATTGATTATGATCATTGTTCCTAGAAAGGGAAGAACTAATTGATCAACTTTTTTCATGTGATCTCAAAATAGGCACTTATAAGATTGATTGCAGTATGAAATCGAAACCTTTTCAGAGTGTCACTCAGCCGTTTACGCATTTTCGGTAACAACTTTTCTTTTGGACAGAGCGTAGCGATTTGCTTGGAGCTTCGCAAGTCTGACTAAAATAAAATTGATAGCGACGTACACCTGTAAGGCAATATGAAGCCCCAATTTGGACTGTCATTACACACTCTTGGAAGCCGCTTCTCACACAAAAACTATCCGGAGATTGTTTTAAGCTTGTTACTTGGATGTTTTTCATTTCGTTGGATGTGAAAAACCTCTACACAAATGTTCCACTCAAAGATGTCATTGACATTGCGATGTAGAATTTATACAGCCAGAATGAGCCACCTGACTTGTCAAGTTCACAAGTGTAACATTCGTCTACTGCAGTCACACATGAGGCTTAAGAAAAATAGGCCCTATAACTATTGGCACAAGAGTCAGGGACACTATCTCTTGTGTTTTTCTACCTCAAATCAGTCGGAGCCAATTCGGTTCGTTTGTGACATGAGACTACGACCCGTTACAGCTTAAAGGCTACTACTAAAATATCCCCCCACTCTAGAATTAAGAACTTCCTCATACTTAGGTCTCTAGATACCCAAAATACATGAACGCCGTTAAAAACCGGGTTGGAACAATCCGTTACGTTACTTTTTTTTTATTAGACAGTGGAACTTTGATCCATTTCAGATGGATCAACATAAAACTCGCCTTACCTCAACATAAAAATTATAAAACACACTCTAGAAATTTAAATTAGTACTCACATTGTAGCACGCTCAAGAATTGGGAGTAATCAAGTCGGTAATCAACTCGAGAATTAAATAATGTAACTAAAATGAGTTTAATGTTTGTCAGTTTTAACAACAAGAACAAGTTTGTACTCTAGACTATAGTTTCTCGTGAACCATTGGGACACTCAAGTTGTCCACCTTTCCACCGAAGGTTCACTCTAGTCCAGTTTAGAATAATACTCCAGTCAAGTCACAATAATCCAGTTCGTGGGAATACGCTTCTTTCTGTTTCGAATGGGACAGCTCTACTCTAGAATTTCCTACTGATTTATCTTGCAACTTTCCCGCGATTGTCACTCGATTGTTCTGACTTCTCTTTTTTGACTTTCAGTTATCGCGAGAAAATCGTGCATGACAGGCTCCATTCGAATTTTTGAAAAATTAAATTTCGACCCAAAATTAAGTGTTTTTTGCCTCTCTCAAGGTCAAACTTCCAAATATGACCGACTGGCACAAAGTTCAGTTCTGGTCTATAGGCTTCGGCCTCTATCAACCAGCTCTTTCGTCGACGTCCATTTCGTCATTCCAAAAACGATGCGTCGTACATTTCGGACGCCCATAGTTTGTCAAGTCTTGCTTTGAATATGTTGACGTTCTCGCTCAATATTATTCTTTCAGGCAATGAGTTCCAGTCTGTAACATTCGCCCGGAAGATACATATCGACGGAAAATAAAACTAAGTCCTAAGACGACTGGCTAACGTCTAAACAGAGCTTTATATGCTTTTCACCGTCTCTACCAAGCCAGTACTTTCGGTGGTCTTTTCTAACATCGGGTCGACAAAAAACGTTACTGCTTTCGGCTTCGGTTAAAACACTCAAATTAACTTAACTACATGCAGAAATAGTGAGCTCATGGCTGGGTCTCAGTATCCCCAGACCACGAGGTCACTCCTAAAAACAGGGCTATTACTATTTATTGAATTATTATTGTTTTTGTTCAGTAGATAAAAATCATCATCTCCATCGAAGATGGATCAACCCTTTCCCCCAACTCCTAGCTTCTCATCCTTATCAAAATGAATCCAGTTGTTATTTAAATTCAATTCAGGACATGACAAGGAAGCTAAAAGTTCATATAAAAGGATAAAAGTTTCAGTCCCGAAACCCTTCCGGATTCTTGAATGCACTGAATCAAGCACGTTAAACTTGATTTCTCCGTAACCCGGAAGGCCGTCTTCCACCCTTCACCGTTGTTCGCAACGGCCTTGCAACTATTGTAGCGACACAATAGTTGCAACTCGGAACGTTCTCTGTTAACTCCGTGATTCGTTGTCGTTTCTTAATCACAATTTCCGTTGTTCTCGCAATCGCAACTAATGTTGTTCTGTTGCTTTTTAGCTCTTCTGCCAAAATGGCCGTTTCTGACGCTTCTCAGAAATGTTACGTCATCACTTCAAAATTTAAAATTTCAAAATACCAGAATATCTTGACCTTCACCGTTCTACTAATCATCCGAATAACGTCGTTAATCCTTCAAAATCACTAACTCGGAAGGTTCGCTGCTAAAAATTCTTAAACTGCAGAGATTGCTTTTTGTCCATTCTGGTCGAATGTCACATACTCCCCGGACAGTCCGGTCAATGTCCTCATTGAATCTCGCAATGCTCGCAAAATAGATACAGTGTCATCGAACAGAATTTACAAAATGCACGAAATTACTTTTATCCACGTCACGTCGACTCACTGCAGAATATAAATGGCATCATACCACATCACTATAGCCTTCAAATTCTTTCATTAATCTGCACATTGAGGATATGACCTAAGATAAAAACATATTTTCCGACTTCCAACGTCAATGTCCCGGTTAAAACTTTTTCTCTCAGATTTAAAAGGTGTTGGTTTGCAGGACAGTCCTGCCAACCAACAAGCTAAAATTATCCTACTATGCTTCTTCCCTTCGGAAATCTTGCTTGTTATTGTCCTGAATATTAAAACTAAGAAACTCTGTGGTTAGAAAGAACAATGAAACAATCTCCCTCTTCGAGAGATTACCCATGCCTTCCATGTCACCACAAAGTGATCAGTTCTCCTAGCTGATTAAAAACAGTCATGTAGGCTGGAATATTTAAATATACTCCTTTACTTAAGCCTTTCTAAATAAATAGTAAGTAAATGTCTCTAAAGCCACTCAACTAAAATCAAAATGCAAATTTATAAATGCAACAATTTCAAAACTCAACTAAATGTTTCAGTTTTCAATTACAACTTGGTTGCTTGGTTTCTCACTTGAGTTTTTTCACACAAATAAAACAATTCTGAGTTTTAACTTTTTCTTCATCACTCCTTTGTTTTCTTCTTTTTCCGTCGTTTAGAAGTTCTAAAACTTCTAAATTCTTCTAATTTCATCTCTTTTTGCATCTTGTTTTTTCGGTCATCCGTCAATGTTCCATTTCTTCCTCCTGTGATACTGACTCTGCACTCTCAGTTTCCGTATCCTGCAACACGTCGTTAGCTATCCTGACGCTGCTGGAAGCCATCCTCCAACACTTCTGCTCTTCTACCCTCTGTTTGCAACAAGGTAGGGGATCCATGTTAGATTCTCTGTTCCTGCAGAAGCTGTTGTGGAGACACAACGTCACGTTTCTCTCCAAATCTTCCTTTAACATCTCTGCCTTCTCCTTTCCACTACGTTCACTCGTCCTGGAAATTCTTTTCACAGCGGTGGTCACTGCATTCCGGTGAGTCACGAGAGCTCGCTTGAAAGCTCCTGCTCCAATGTCCAGCTGATATTCACTGTACACCCTGCCGTGCTTCGACATATGCTTTTTCGCATATTCGTACAACCATGCAGTCATGTTAGCTCTGAACCATGGCATCAATCGTTTTCTTGCCCATATCTTCTTCACTTCCATCGGAATGTTTAGAATTTTGCACATTGTCTCAAAAAGATCTAAATCTTTTAGACAATCTAATTTCCGCAACTGTTCTCTCGTCGGTGCCTCCTGTCTATTATTTTCTCTCACATGAGCTTCCAGCCATCGTATCGCCATCATAACTCTCACTATCACTATTGTTATGGGCTGTGATGAATCTGGTAAACCCATGGAGAGCAGCTCTCCAGAGACCCAGATCAACATCAGATTACTACGCTTGGGATACCACCAAGTCTGCAGCAAGCAGTGGCAGGGAAACTCGTCATGTGTCAACATGATGCTCCTCGAATTACGTTTTCCCGAAGCATCCAGTAATGGTTCCACTTCCATCATCACTCGATGGACTTTATCATTCTCGTCTACTGCATTGTAATATGTGACAGTTGATCCTCTCTGTTTCTGTCTCTCGAAGTCACTGAAGTTCCCGCTCACATATACCATGAACTTCTTTCCTAGTATTGACTCCAACTCTTCCATGGTTCTCTCTGGAACTGCTGAGAACATTTTACATAGCAATTCGTAAGATTTCTTGGACATTCTCGCCAGTCTCACACACTTCGGCAATGAGAAGGCTTGATACACGATCGTTCTCGTACTCTTTACGTCCAAAGCTACAAAACGTACAGGGTATCTGCTCTTGCACATTGGAGCCAATGTCGAACCCACCAAATATCGTGCTCCTGATGGTCTACAATAATTCTCACTGTGTCTGATGTTCATTTCCGTCTCGATTGCTTCCCTCCATTTTCTTATGTATTTCTGCTCAGTCTGCAGAACTCCTGGGAATACTTCTACACTGATGGCTGTGACCATCTCATGTTTCTGTTCTAGATTCAATAGTGACTCTAAAGAACCAAACATGCTGTAGAATCCTAGTGCAGTCACTAGATTCACCTCGGTTCCTCAATGGCAATCTGCTATCAGTTCCGTTTCTGTTCTTGCTTTCATCACTACGTTTCCAAACAATACCGTCAATTGCTTGTGTTGTTTCTCCAGGGTCTTCACACAGTCCAGACCTCCACAAACGTGACCCTCCAGTCCACAGACTTCCGCCAGACAGCTACCAGGTTTGACCCAGTCTTCTAGTCCCCAGCCAGGCAACTCCACTTTATCTTCTCCATTGCTCCTAGAGGCCGTTATCATCACATTATATATGATGTTGAGGTCAGGCAGGTTACAGTCTGCATTCAGTTCCCTCTGCACGTCCTGTGTCGCTCGCA